GGGTACGTGAAAGGACCCAGGTAGACTGTAAATGACTGGCTTCGGGAGGGTGCGAAGGCAGGTATTGGCGATCGCCGGAGCACAGATGTGTTAATATTTGGAAGATGTTGGAAATTTGGTTGGGATAGGGTAGTTCGTTCTGAAGACACTCCGGGCATGACATAAGAACCGAGGACTGGAGAGGACATAGAGAATTCCTGAGCGCGCGGGATGAGCTCTCTATGTGGCACGATGTGACGTGACGATGAGTGGGGCTCGAGGCGGAGGGCCTGAGACAGGTGATGTCGATCGTCGTCGTAACCGGCCCATGCGTCGCCAATCGCGGCTCCTGTGAACTGTGCATTTACACCCCCTGCGTCTATAAGTGGAGAATGATCGTCGTCGATGTAGGCAGGCACTTCAACCACCAGAGATACATGCTTCACCAGAAAACGCGATTGCATGCCCGGAAGGCGCACAGCGGTCGTGTCTGGGGGGAGAGTGGAAGGGATCGCATACGAACTTTTCGTCTCCTACATTTTCCGTTTCCGTATCAGCACAGAACCATGGCTAACATAGGGAAATAGACCCACGGGTGATTCTCGGGTAAGGTACATACCAGAGTGATGCCACGAAAGTAGGCACTCTGGCTCACGGCGGTCGTATTTTGGGAAGGCGACATTGGGCTCTTGTTCTTCATGGATATCGAGCTGAAGGTTTTCCCTACTTATAATTGCGGTAGAGTCGCGAGTGGCACGTTCATCTTCCCCTTGGCCGGTAGCCTCCCCGGAAGACCATAATGATTCAGGTCTCATGGGAGTAGCTGGGCTAAAAAATGGGCATGTTGTCAAGCAGAGCCTTGGAAACACACTTGCCTGAGAGCTGCTGCTCGGTGCTAGCTGGCGAATCATTTCTCTGCTCTGTGGCACGCTCCGAGTCGATGTCCACGCCACATAGGGTGTACTTAGCCGTACATTCCGCAATGAGAGTTGATTCCCCATCTGAGTTTTGCGTGCTATCACTCTGAGGTGATAAATTTGAGAGATTAAAGCAGCGCAGGGCGTATGGCACGACTACAAGAAACGAAGAGTCGCATCCGGAGTTATCGCCGTCGCGCGATTCAAGGACGAACAGCGGCGTCAGAAGAGGTTTCACAAGTAGCTACAGAGGTATATTGTCAACGTTCGACAACACCCGTATTTAAATGCACTAACCGGATGCAGCCCCACGAGTGCCTCTGTGAACCTTGCTCTGAGGTCATACAGCGGGATGCTGCCGGCGACGCGATGCTGCATAGCTTGAAGGTCAGCAACTATCTTCCCCCCTACAGCCAGACCTCATGGAATGCTTGGCAGCTCCGGACTTGTGCTCTCAAGCTCGATCCGTACCTGCATTGGGATTCCCTCACAGACTTTGCAACGACGGACAATGGAAACGTGATGAAGCTCAAGCAACGCTATCGATGGCGGGCGGTGACTATGCGGGATGACGAGACACGCGACATAGGCAAGCGGCTTGAGCTGGGAGCTACAGTTTGGTGAGGGTCCCCGCGCGTTGCAAGGATGGAGTAGAGAAGGTGGCCGTCGCGGTCAGAGTCTGGCAAACCAGCATGGACTGCGACTCAGCGAAGTACATGTTCCATTTTGGGATACATGCCGCATTTAGTTGTTTAACCGGCTGATCCGCTATCGGGCGCCATTGTCGAAGCTCCAGCGTCACGTCGTCACTTGCTGGACTGCGTTCGCTGAAATCTCCGACTCTCATGGCCTCCATCTTGCCTACAGTCATTGTTTTGGGGCTTGTCCTCATTCTTATGGCCTGCTCGTGGTTGTTTACCCGTAAGGGCCCAAACCAAACGTGAGTCATATCCAGGAAACCATCGCAAAAGCATCTGAACCCCGCGTCCCCCCGCAGGCTTATTCGAACAAGCTTGATGCTCGCTCTTGCTTGCTGCTACTTGATGTGGATGGTTACGTACCTTGCACAAGTGCACCCGCTGGAACGTAAGCCCAGTAACTACTAACGATGCCTCCCTGATGTATACCTGTTTGACAGGACCACGAAAAGCGATGCTCTCAGAGTGATGGTCTCTTGTACATCCACACTCCTCGACACCCGTTCGGTATGCCGCTGATCATTTTCAACCTTCAAGGAATACATCTGACTTTCCTAGTATCAGGACTTTACATAGCATAGGAACCATTTTTTCGCCTTCATTCACGTAACGCTATTGCCCCAGAATACATCAGTCCATACCTTCAGCCCCATGCTACGCTCGCCGAAGTATCTTCTGCCCAGTCTTGCATACCCCAACTATCCTCTGCCGGGGCTTGCCACGCGCTTGCCCAGCCCTCTTCTTCCCACTTGACGTCCGTGTCTGCCGGAGCTACCGCCTGCCAGCCCTTCCAAGTATCGGGCGGGGTCTCTACCTCGATACTTTCCGGATCTGAGACAGGTTCACTTAGTTCTCTAGAATCGACCTCTTGTTCTGGTATGTTGAGGACGAGTTCATGGAACTCAACTAACCACTCGAGGACTTTCTCTCCATTCTGGCTCACCGAGAAGGCAGCGTCTTCCTCTAGAGAGGATATGAACAGGT